TTTTTAGCCTTTTTAGTATTATTTTTTCGAATAATTTCGAGATCACAGGCAACAGTGATATAGGCCTATACGACGAAACTTCATAGGGTGGTTTTCCTGGTTCGGGAATCATCATTTCCACTACTTTCCACATCTAAGGAACAGACTTTATTCGAAATGAGCCGTTGATTAGATTTGTCAGTTTTACTATTGCTTTCTTTGGAAGTTGCTTTAAGATTTCGCTTGTGAGCAAATCAAATCCTGGAGCTTTTTGTGGGTTAATGTTATTTTTAATTTCTTCTGAAACTTCTTTAACGGATCAATGTCTCATAGTCACATTCTCTTGTATTAGTTCAATCCAGTTTTATAAATCATCTCCATCATTTGGTTGAAAGGTCATTTGTAGGTGTTCTGCAAATCTAAAGGCTATTCCGTGCCCAACTTCCATCTGCATTTCTAACTGGAGAGTTTTTAATGATAGACTGTTTTAGTCTCTTTGTCGCTTTATTATCATTGGTTAATTCACTCAGATAATCAACTATAGACTCATTTTTATAGAGTTGGATTTCTCTCTTATGTGGCATTGTTCAAACCAGTTTTATTTACTGGGCGTTTGGTTTGTTGCCATTTTCGTCTTAATTTTCTTTTTTCTGTTACCAGATCCCTGCTTTCCTTCAAATAGTTATTGCCCTTTGTGTTGCGTTTGATGTCTGGAGTATTTTCCCATGCTGCTTGTTGAATGTTTTTCACAAAGTTCTATTTCGTCGTCTAAATGTTTTTAAGTGTAATCTTGAAGCTTTTCCAGTTATTCAGATTGTTTAGGAGACACTCCTTCTTGAATTACATTGTCACTTAAAGTAAGTAATATAGGTGGATGATCTGAGTTCATATCCCAAACTTCTTCCACGATTCAAACATAGTAACTCAATAAGGGGAAAGCAGGTAAATACAATAGAACACCCAAGAGTGTCCTAGGCTATATCTAGTCGTACCTGCTTATAACCGGTAACGGTAAAGATAAAATGAATATAGGAAGCAATTTCTTCAAATAAATTTTGTTCTGTATAATTTTTGTAGTAGACCATGGACAAAAGGCTGAGACAAGGTGTTATAGCTGGACAAAAAAAGACCCCGACTTGTCGCAGACTCTCCCTAGTCAAGGTGGAACAAAAACAGCCAAGAATGCTCCGGCATCGACTGGCACGTTCAGTGACAACTGAAAAGGAATCCGGCTAGCTGTCATCGACAAAAGATATCCGGACACTACACTGAACCGAGAACAGACAGATTTGGTACAAGTGACATTAGCGGAACAGCTGTATACTGTCCCCTTAGGCAGTAAAAAAAGCGCACCCCAATTCCTCAAAACATCGTCCACAGCAGGGGCCATTTGGGTGATCTGCGTTAATCAAAGAACAGCGGACTGGCTGAGAGGAACGCTCGGTATTCCCGGAAAACTCTGGGATGGAGCGGATTGAACCGTGTTCGAATTCAAGGACCTTCCGAGGCGACCCAGAGTGTTGGTCTTTATCCCAGACCTGTCCAAGTGACTTCTTCAGCTTCAAAATCAGGAGCTGAAGATGCAGGATTAGCTGCTGATGAGCCGAAAGATTGAAAAAAAGGGATAACTCCTGGCCTTTTCAAATAATAAGGCATACTACAAGGCTATAGAAACTTCACAATTCCGAACCTATTTTAAGCTGAGAAGCGTCTTAAGGCGACCTGACGAAGGAGATCAGGATGCTTTATATCAACCTCTAGCTTTGTAAGGCTGCTTCCCAGTACTTTTAGCTGCTCTCAAGAGGTTTGAAGTAGCACTGATACAGGAACCGTGGATCGGACACGTTGAAATAAAAAAGGTGTGGGTGGATAAATCTTTTTTCGTGGATCACCGAATATCATGCAGATTAAAAATGGACACCTGGGCCTTGTAAAGACATTTAAATCATTTAATTTAGAAAAAATGTCGGCTAAGTATGCAACCAGAAAAGTCGACTTCTTTAAAGGGTAACACTATTCATTCATCCATCCTTCTTATTCGCCTGATTTGATCGCTCTTTTTATGTTCCCTATATTATAGTCAAAGAAAAACTTATGACGTAGATTTTCCAACAACAATGATGCGGTAGCTTCATAAAATGAAAATATAAGTGAAATTCCGAAAGAAGTTTGGTATTCTGTCCTTGAAAAGTGGTTTGAGCGAACGCAGAAAGGTATTTACTCCAAAGGAGAATAGTTTGAAAACAATATTTCTAATTTAAATATTCAACCAGTTTGTTTCTATGTAAAATTCAAGGGAAGCTAAGTTGGTGGCTCGGAATACAAATAAAAATGTTAAAAAGACGTTGGAAAATATTTAAATAATTTATTTGACGTTTGCGAATGATCTAATGAAATCAGTACGCGTCGAGTCGGTAGTGTAGCGGTCTAACGCGCTTATATTCATTTATAGGCAAGTTTATGAGTCTGAGACTGCTGGGCTTCGAATCCCAAACCAGACCATGTGGATTTTTAATTAAATTGCATGGTTCGGTTTAGGATTTAATGTGTGCCGTATTAATAGAAATTCAATTTCTGTTGATATGACATGCAGATTAAAAAATCGCCATGCATTACCGTCTCGATGATGGTGGGTGAGGTTTTCCGGGTTTTCTTCACCTGTAAGTCAAATGGCACCATCAATCATCTTTAAGTCGCCCCGGAGCGCCACGGCAAATAATAATAATAGCCGTCCCTTCCCCTACACAAGTCGTTCAGTCGACTTCAGGGGTTGAAATTCACTCGTAAGGGGGTGAATTAGGGATAGTATTATTATTATTATCATCAAAAATTGTATTCTCTTATACCGCAGTACATAAATTTAGCTCCATAAGATACTGCTATATTTAAATTAAACTGAAATTTTAAAAGATGTATAGGCTTAACGACTGGAAGAAATGGTCAAGTAAAGTAAAAACCATCGGATCTTTTGGTCGAGAGTTATCGTGTCGGTGCACAAACACACGCACGCACATACAACCAAACGATATTTTTTTTGCACTCAGAGTGGTTGCAAACCTGGATAAAAGTGTTAGTCCCGTAAGTAGGGGGGTCTCAATAAATTTTCAGCCTGGCTAATTACTAGCGCTATTATTAATGGATGGTTGTACGTTCACGCTGTATATTTAACAATCATGATCTGAATCTCTAGTTTCATACTTGAGACATCTTTTAAAATAAGGAAACTAATAACCGTTTTATGGTAATAAGCTTCAACAACGTTTCGAAATAAATGTCATATTCATTATACGTATGCATTACAAATTGCTAGTTGACCACTTCATTATTCCGGATCCCGGTCATTGCCAAGTTACATCTTCGGTATATGTGTATGTATATGAAATAAAATGCTGCTTCGTTAGGAGGTTCGCCTCCGAGATCTAACAGATCCGGATTATCCGGATTTAGTTTTTAATATTTCAGCTACTTTTCAATTTGAATGTGTGATTTAGGGTGCGAAAGTACGCGGAGTTGTTAAAAAATAGAATGTGGTTTTTAAAAGCGTGGCTTGCAAAAATACAATTTTTTTGCTCCTACGTAATTAGGTTACAAGTAAGGATTGAGAATTGCTACAATGGGATTCCAGATTTTGGGCGTGCTTGCGCAGTGAAACTAACTGGTGAGACCTTTAAAAATATTAAAATATTCTCTGGGTCCTTTTTATACCTGTTTTGATCCAAATATAAAGGTAAAAATACCAAAATTTGTAGCAAAATAGAAAAAAAATTGCTTGGGTTTTTATTTACAAACACCTAGGGAAATGGCTAGGTTTACCAATCCCAAAAAGGAGAAATACTTCTATAGTAGAATAAGATAAAAATGATAAACTACTAGGTATCTTGGAAAAAATAATTTAGCTCAGAAACATAAACAAATACTCTTTAATAGAAGTCATCAATATCTCTCGAAATTATTTCCGAAATAAATTTAAATTACTGAAATTAATTTTTATTTGATTTGGTAACGAATTTTCGTGGCTCTAGTTACATCTATGGCTACAGAAAGTAGTTTCAATTTTTTTACGTTTAGGATTATTTGTGAAAATTATTATTTTCTTAAAGACAATAAAAAAAAATGACAAAATCAAAGGACTGTGGCTGAACCTGATCCCAGCAGCAGCAGCAGCAACTCTCAAGATGAAGAAGATTGTTGACTTAGGGACATCAACACTACAAGAATTTATAATTGAAGGGTACAGGAATAAAACTAGGAATGTCACAAAATATAGATTTCGAGTAATTTAACATTTTAATATAAATTCGCTGTCAAAAAGCTTACAAAATGGAATAAATTTTTCTTCATTGCATAAAGGATAACTAAATACAATATTCTTTGTGACACAAAACAACATTTTGTAACAAAACTTAAAAAATCATGTTAGTTATCAAAATTTTGAGCAAACGTGCGAAAAAGCAGGAACAAAACATGGAGTGTCCATCGTTTTCATATCCTTGAAAATTCTGATAGCATCTCTCAGAAATGCGAATGGCCAATATGTCTGAAAAAAAGGAAAGTTTTTATTACACACCAGACCATTTACGCGTCTTGTATTCTTACCAAAATATTTTGTCACTGAGAATGCGCAAGTTCGGTGTAAAAATCTGCTGCTTTGGGTTGTTGACAATATACCTTGAGTTTTTGCAAGTTTAAGTACTTCTCCTTTTTTATGGACAGTGTCCCTAAAAAATAATAATCAGAGGTAAGGCCTAAAGGATTAAGATGCTATACGTACGCTTACCTTTATATTTTGCGTTAGGAAGTTCAAACTCGTTTTCTCCTAGTCTACGGCCCTGAGGATTTCGTTTCTTCTCTACATTAACAATAGAACTATTGCGAAAGGCGCCATTGTAAGTTGACCGAAAATACATTAGCTGTGGATGATCTCTGGTGCAGTAAATTTCACGTATTTCTTGAATTGCAAAGGGGCATTTCGCCTTAAACTTATCCTTCAGAAACGTCCCCCGGTTCTTAACCATGTCTGGCTATACCCTTATCACAGAAAATGGAGTTGGTTTAGTTCTAGAGCGTTCCAGTAAATCATAGTAATCTTTTGGCAATTCCATTCGTGTTTTAAAGTTAACCAATCCCATGTTTTTATCACATTCAAGGTATGAGTGGCCTCGAATTGGAAATGTGATACGAATGGAATCAAGTCTTTGAATAGAATGTACAATATAATGCATAAAGCGGAAAACAGAATAATTCTTATTCTGTCCTCCAGCAGAGTCACAAAACAAGTGCAAATGTTTGATGTTGTTTCCAACGTAATTCATTAAAAAATCAAACAAAAACGAGCAAACCTCATCAAATCCCTTCTTTGCAAGATTTTCTGGATATGTATAGAAAAGTGATTGCGCTGTACCCAAAACATGTATATTAAACGAATACATTGACAGCTGACGCAGATAATATACATCGTTTGTGGGTATATTTGGAAGGTACACGTTTTTCTGGTAGTCCATTGCAACGGCGATAAAATCATTGCTGGTTCTATCTCGACGCCTAGCTGTTCTTTTTTTGTCATAGAATGCGTCAGCCCTTCTTTTATGTAATTCATTTTCAATTTCTAATTTTCTTATAGTGACTGCGGCTTCTGGAGTGTTTTCGGCTCTCAGTCTGTTTACCTCCGCGGTAAATCTATCACATGTACTACATGTGTCGCTTCGTGGGTATCCGAAACTGATATTAAATTGAGTGTTAAAAATATTGCGATAAGTTTCGCAAGACACCTTTTCTTCTGGATATACTTGTTTAAACATATTAAACATCTTTTTAATATTTAGACCTTCAGGCAGGTAAAGTTTTTTGGAGTCACCTAAACTATAATGTGAAAGCCGTCCCTTAAAAGAACCAATATGGTCAAAAACGTGTTGGTATGTAGCGTCAGGTAAGCGCCTTACTTTAGAGCTATGTTGGCCTCTTTTATCTTTAGGTGCTGTTCCTCTATCCTTTAAAGCTTTTTGCAAGTGTTCTAGTTTTCCTTTGCTAATGCCATGAATGCTCAAAAAAACTTTGTAGCAGATTGGTTTCTCAATGATCTGATCGTTTTCTTTTACCCTAATTTTGTAAGAAAATACGCTGTCATGAAAATTAGCTTCTTCTTCTTCTGGCTTCCGATTACGGCGCCTTTGAACCGGAGTAACCGACATTAAACTGCTTAGATAGTTATTTTGTTCATTGTTTGTGGACAAGTTGTTCATATATGTTAAAATTGACTTACGTTGTTCGGTTGTTGTAACTTCAAAACATTTCAAACGTTTACAAAAACATGGAGGACCTTGCTCGTGGGAAGCCAATCGAACTTTCTTCATCACATCTTGCATTCTTCCAGTTCTAGGCCTCTTTTTTTCCCGTTGTGGTACATTCTCACCGTCCATTTTTTCACAAAATACAGCAAACGCTTCAAAACACGTGTATATTAGCGATAAAAACACGAACTGCTACCACACGGGTTGCTTCAAGACTGGACCTGCTTGATCCACGAGAGCGGCTGAACTGGTGGCCCCGGACTATCCTTGTTTTAAACGTGTAGCGCGCGGACCTTCCTAGTTTTATACCTGTTCGGTATATCTTTATAATTAAAAATATCGGTGACCTTTCAAGTTTTATGCCACCAATGTTGGTCATGAGAAAAAGCTTGGAGAGTAGCACCAGATACATTTAAAAACAAAGAACCACAATATTTTGGACCCTCCTTGTTTTATTCCTGTACCCTTCAATTGTAGACAACTGAAGTGAAGAGAACGAGAACTGGAGCGATATTGAATGTGATTCTGATCAGTAAGAGGAAGAAGATGAGGATGGAAGATAAATCGTAATGTAACTGAGCCACTGACGTCTCTAGACTGATTTACGTAAGAGTGAAATTAAATAATGTTTAATTAGTTTTTTCTCAATGATTTTTTCTTAATTATTTAAGTATTTTTTAAGGTTAAAAGCAAGGGTTCCTTTAAATCCACTTACGCATTGTTAATGCACCTTTTAATGTCAGTTACATCTGTCACAGCATATTTTCTTTGCACTAAAAAACCACATAAATAAAATAATTACGAATTAAAGAAGATCACGAGGGAACATTACATCAGAGACAACCCAATGTATTTTTTTTGTTCTGCAAAAATTGTTTGGGCGATTGTAATCGCAACCAGTATATGATGGCGCACTAGTTAATTTTCTTTTTTTCTTAACGCCTCTTAGGTCCGTATTTATAAACAGAACTCAGCTGAGTCGGACTTGGGTAAGTCGTCCTTGAACTAAAATCGAAGTTCGGTTACAACGTCTCTAAAGTTCTAGGTGGTTCTGGAGTTTAGAGATGGATAATAGCAAATCTGTAACTGTTATATACATTTACGGATTTGTTACTACCCATTCCTAAATTGACGCGATATAACCGAACTTCAATTTTCGTTCAAGGATGACTCAACCAAGTCCGACTCAGCTGAGTTCTGTTATAAATACGGACCTTACTGCTGTGTGTCATAAATAGCGGGAAAATTTAAAAATGATTTAGGGCGGGAAATTCGAACATGGATTCAGAAATAGTTTTTTTATGCAGGGGGAATGAAAATTATTGTTTCACTATATATTGTTATGTGAACTATTTCATTATTCAGTCATGCTCTAACCCTACAAGTCCATCTCTGTCTTATTTGGCATTTGAGGCTCAACTTGTCCGATTATTATACATAATTAAACCCCTTAAGACCAAACCTATGGGACGACTATGGTGGAGACACTTTTTCGAATATTCCAGAGTCAACGAGATACTATTTCTAGAACGTGATAACGTTTCTGGTACATACTGGCAATTTTGGTGGGGGAGCATTCTAGACCACCAATTTGTATATAAATTGGTGGAGGAGAGCCATCAAAATCAGTTGATATAAGGACAGTGAAGATAAATAGTAATTCGTAGATAGACAGTGGTGAATATAAATAGTGAGCGATTCAAAGACATTCGAAGTATATATAAATTAAAATAGTATTGTTTAAAATAAATAAGTGTTTAAATAAATTATTAATAAATAAACTGTTGTTTTAAAGTAAACAAACATCACAATATTAAAAAATAAAAAAACTTCAAACAACATCAACTTTTTTTATCATACAAATAATTAATTTCAATGAAGGAAGCTTTAAACCATATATGTAGTTTTTATTACTCTTTTAAAGTTCGCTTGATAAAAAATAGGAAAATTTTAGTGATTATTAATATTTACACTTGGAAAAATGATACAATCTATAAATTGTATTTTTCTAAGGAACAAAAAACAAACTACAAGGGCTACGGTCAGAAAGTAACTTGTGTTGCTCCTTTTACTCGATACCGTTCTTTTAGTATAACTACTAACTACTTCCCACTATCGGATCTGCTCTATGGTCTTTTAACGCAGAGCGTTAAGGTCGGTTTACTTCATAATAAATTTCAGAGCTTTAAGAGTAAATATCATTTTGTGACAAATTACAAAGAAATGAAGTAACAGTTGGTATTTCAAAACGAAGAAAAATTGAAAAGAAATATATATTCATAATATTTTTAAAACAAAATGTAACCCATACTTTATAAAGTATAGAGTATAGGTTATAATTGTTTATTTTAATTGAAACCATGGAAACGAAACAAACACTCACATAGATGTAGAACACCCGAGTCGAGTAAGTTCCCATCCTGTAAATTGGATCGAAAAATGCCAGACTCATTTCGTCCACCCGCTCCTGCTAACTCTTCTGCAGGGTCCTCAAGATCAAAGATCAATAGATTTGTATGCCATGCCTTCTCTCGTCATTTAAACAGGACGTTGATGAAGGCTTGCCTCTCTTATGTCGTCGTTTGTGTTTCTTCTATGTGTGCATTCTTCTGTTGTGTCCCTAGTCCCGTGAAAATATTCCCAGTCTCCTAATTTGGCAACTAGGTGGACCTTCTCCAACTAGTCGTCTCTTATACGAAACCAGTTTAAGAAAACCATTATTTTTATTCCATCCAAGCATTGTTTGCTTTTTAAACTTTTTAAACGTAGCAAATAATAAAAAAAATAATAATAATTTATAATAATATACACTATTTAATGATGCATACATTTTTTAAAATTTTTTAAAATTTTAAAATTTTTTAAAATTTTCTGTTAATATTTTTTTTGTCCTCCATGTCCCTTACCTATTTCTTACACCTCTAGGGTATACCCCCTTAGTTATAGATTACCTTAAAATATTTTAATGAATATCACATTTTAGCCATAAAAATCTAATTTTGAATTTATCTAATTTACCCAAGGCGACAAGAAAATAGTCTATCTCTATGTATAGCGTTCTTAAATTCTATAATTGACTGAAGTCTGAAAGTAAATGGAGATTTCATCCTCCTCAGAATCTGCACTCAATATTACTACTAGTCCAGCTTCACTAAGTACTTTTTTGAGTCGGCAGTGCCCTATGTGAGGATCACCGTTACTATGCCTTGCTTATTGTAGCTCAGATACACTGTTTTGATCTTTCTTGGTTAGAATCGCCCAGAAGTATCTTAGCTTATTTAGTCCCGAAGAGATAGTTCCAATTGTCGACTCTTATACTCCCATTTCTTTTGTAATCCAAATATCGTGCTACTATTAGGTTTGTTTTGGTTAGCGTTCTAGAATTGTTCCAGAACAATGCGCAGAACTATTGCGAAATGGTCCTTAATTCTAAACAGTTCTGTAACCATTCCATTTGTACTCGAAACCAAAACACCGCCAGAACAGTTAAATGTCAAAAATTTAATTATAAATAAAAAAGAAGATATAATACAGGGTCAGTGTCTAAGTAAGAAAGAGGCCATATAATATTGTACAACAGACAAATTAATTAATTTATTCATAAAAAAACTTATGACCCAACATCAACTAACCAACTGCTCCATTCTCATTTGTTATTCGAAAATTACTTCACAAAACATGACGAGGATCTCAAAAACAAAACTACTTGCAAAAAAGCGCAAGCGCAAACACGTCAATTCTGAAACAGTTCTAGCTTTGGGCCAGAACCGAAGTTACTGTTCGAGAATGGTTATGGAACCATTCCAAAGAAAAACCAAAAAACAGAACTTACAGGTTCGGAACTAGTTCTGGCGAAACCAAAACAGGGAATATCTACTGCGCATGCTCCAAAGGTTCTAGAAGAGTTCTGGGACAGTTACGAACGTGAACCAAAACAAAGCTAATAATATAACGAAACGACTCAGGTTCCACAAGGGGTGTTTGAGTCCCTTTTCTCGTAAGACAATCAGCAATATCGTTATACACTTCACCTCGATGTGTCCTGGGACCCAAGTGAGTGTAACTATAGTTTTCTCGCCTAGTAGACAACAGTAAATATATGGATGTTAAGATCAAAGAAGGAGAAGTATTATATTCTAGAATGTGAGAACGTAAAAGCACATGAAAACCTGGAAAATTATTTGATTTCTTCAATTAATCATTGGGAATCAATAGACTCTTAAAAATTATATTAAATTTAGAAATGACAAAGAAATTTTCCTTCAGTGCCTCTATCTCTCCATCTTACTGATTTATTCTTCTTCGTTTATTGACTGTTTATCTTCTGATTATGTGCTGTTTAGCGTGCCTTTCTGTCACTGCACCCTTTTTTCTCCTTTGAAAGGAATTATAAATAATATCCTATCTTTAATTTTTCTTTACTTTAATCTTCAATATTTAGAATATTTCTTTCCAATTAAAATCCTCTTCTCCGCAGGTCTAGACAAGTTCTCTAACACTGACTAATCTGATATTATAATACAAATGACTCTTTAATAATTTTCCGGAGTCCTTGATTTTCAATTTTTAATTTATAGTTTTAGTAACTTCACCTTGGCATTTTGAAATGTTGATAACTGGAATAAAAAACTTAAATTTGAAAATTGAATATTCGTTTTTAGTAACCTATAAAAATGCGATTATTCCAAATTAAAATATCCATTGCTGCTTTACAGTATCGTTTCGTTATTTACTACTCACCATACGGTCCTGCTTTCTTGATATGATAATGCGGTGCCTGGAAGAACTAATTGCGACCATATCATTGATTACGGACAAGTAATCTAGTCGTCAGTTTGTGAATAATCGGCGTACACCAACGACTGACGATCAATTTGCATTTTATCCTTATAATTAACTCTTTGCTGCTCTCCTTATCAAGATGCTTCCACATTTTTCTCTACGCAGACTAATTGAAAAATCATTAACTTCGCGTGTAAATGCGCACTTGAATTCGCCTATTTGATGTTAAATGTAAAAATGTGCTATGTACGGTGGTTTTTATAATCTTGTTCCTAATAACGTATTCTACACAGATCCTATTCATTTGTTGCGACCTTAAACGAACATTTCAATGTCTACAATATTGACGTTAAATTACAAATATAACCCTTATTGAAATACCAGTAAAGAGGGTGCTATAATATGAAAATTTTTAATAGAAACTCTTTGGTTACAAAATTAAAAAGGAGCCAAGGTTCTTTTCTAGACAATTTTCAGCCACTCCCTATGTGAAAAGCTAGAAATAAAATGTTTTTCAACGAAGTTATTTTAATTATTTATTTGCTGGATGGAAAAGACAAAACATTATAGAATAATAGTACAAATACAAATTTGTTAAGAATGTCATACAGGAAGCTATGTAAACATCCCAGGAAAAAACTGACCGTACACAGGATAAAACAAAATAGTTGTCTACATTGCATCAAGTTTTTACATTGTTAAAGAAAAAACATTTTTATTCATATATTTGTTACATGCAAAAATATCCAAGCTGTCTTGAATTTCATAATATTTCTGGATAGATTGGTACATTGGAGATGAGTTTAAATCTTTGTAAGCTTCAAAATTCTCATTGAGGCCCATTTATCGTATACCAGTGGCGTATCTAAGCATTTTTTTATTAGCAAACCTTTAATAATTCCATCCGCTTTTATCTTTGTTGTTAATTGAGATATTAGAACGAAAACTTTTTTGTTTAAGAGCTTGGAACAAATACTGTCATATACTGGATTTAATTGACCTGTGACGTCATAGCTTACTTCCGGTTTTTCGGAAATAACAGAAAATCGCAAATTATTTTTAATTTTTAAATAGAAACCCTCTTTTTTATTAAAAATTTCAATTTCTGGGACATATATGGATAAATGACCGTCATATTGTATAATATTTTTTTAATGTTACTCGAGAGCCAAATTCGGAAAACTTCAATGGTTGCTATTGTGACGGTAACGGTATAATTTTATTTTTAAACATTGTCAAAGCTCGTTTATAGTAATGACAATCTTTATCCCATACTACATGATTAACAGAGGTATTTATATTATGATATGCTACAGTTTATACTTTATACATTAATTGGTATTAGATTTACAGTCTTTGAGCTCGTGATTAAGAGAACATTTACGAAAGGCTAGTTCAGCTTTAGTACATTGACTTGCTAAATGATGTAAACCCTAACACTTAAAACACTTACGTGCTTCAAAAGCACAATAAATTGGACAATCAAAATCAAAACCAGCAGTGAGCTTACCGAGTTTCAGAGCCTTTGGGAGTTTGCCAATCGTACACAGATGTGTTGTGCCTGCCCAGTCGGCCACGTCTGTGACGATCGAGCGAAGGAAAGTGAGTTGACAACAGACGTTTGATGATATCTTCGACGTTTGCAACTTTAATGCTTTCCTGTTTCATTAGCTCACCAATATTGCTGCTTGCGAAAAATCTATTTCTTCGCATTATGCTCTCCATCTCTGTTTTTAATATTCTCTAAAGTGAGGATTTATAAGAGTTCTCTTTGAGTTTTCTCTTGCCACCTTCCTGAAGTGTTCCAACTCGTGTCACCAATATCGTGTTGGACTAACCTCATTTCTGGTCTATTAGTACAAAATAAATTACTAAATTAAAATACTGTAGTTTTAAGATTATTATTCGGATATGCAAAAGTAATTTAGTACTCGCCGTATATACAGGGGAGAACAGAAAATAATTTTTCCTCTACTTTTGACACACCTTGTAGGTTAATTCTGCTAGTAGATCTGCACACAATTAACTTTATCAAGAATACTGATTTGTTTTTTTATTTAACCCGATATCTTAATTTGTTTGTGAAATGTGACGGTTTAAAGAAAATGCTACATTTTAGCATGTCGGCCATAATTTAAATGACGGTAGAGAATAAACTACAAAATAAGTAGAGTGCTGTGGCCAACTCACAATATGACAACTGTCAAATATTCGTTACTTGGCAATTGCAGTTTAATTATCAGCATAACAAATATTCATTATCAGCACATCATGGTTTTAACGCCTACTGATGCAGCACGAGCAGTTGCTCTGTTACCAGACGGTAGGTCTTAGTATTATGTTTCTAGAATGAAACTGGTCGTTTTTCGAGATGAAGAGGATCTGGCAGACGACGTTCTATAAATGTTCGAGATGATCGTTTTGTAACATTAAATGTTTTGCGAGAAAGAAATACTACTGCTGTCATGGCTCGAAATCGTTTAGAAGTACGTCAAGTAGCTGTTAACGAAGTAACGATTCGAAGGTGATTACGAGAACATGGATTACGCTCCAGAAGACCTGTAACTGGTCCGGGGTTACTTAGGAATCACAGAACAGCACGTCTTCGATTTGCTAGGGAGCATCAACATTGGAATGTCGATGACTGGAGTAAGATTTTATTTTCTGAAGAGTCATGGTTTTGTTTACGTTCTCCTGATGGCCGTGAAAGAATATACCGAAGAAGAGGCGAAAGGTTTGACCAAGAAAATGTTTCCACAAGACTCAGTTATGGAGGAGGATCGGTAATGGTTTGGGGCGGCATAAGCATGGAAGCTAACCGATATATTCGTGATGTGCTAGATCCACATGTAATTCCATTTGCATCGTTTATAGGAAACGAATTCATGTTTATGCATGACAACGCTCGAGCAAACAAAATTTTGGAAACAAATCAGTCTTCTTGATAAAGTTAATTGTGTGCAGATCTACTTGCAGAATTAACCTACAGGGTGTGTCAAAAGTAGAGGAAAAAAATGTTTTCTTTTCCCCCCTGTATATCCGGCGAGTACTAAATTACTTTTAGATGTCCGAATAATAATTTTAAAACCACAGTATTTTATCTAAAAGTTGCTAAAAACTTCAAATAAATCAGCCTCCGCATTTGAAAGTTAGAGAATTTTTAAATAAATCATTATTTTGAATGGATCGAATTTTAAGTCGGTGAGTGTATTTTGAGAATTATTTTCATTTTTGAAGAAGGGCATATTTGAGCAGATCAATCCTCTCTACGATTTATTTTTATTAGGTTTTACTTTTCTAATTTAGATCATGAGATATGGCCATTGTAATTTTTTAATTTGTCGCCCCGTATATCCTTAGTTACTCATTTAATTACCAACCTAGGTGGTATGGTAACGTGAAAAATATATCAAAGACATTAAAAAAACTAAAAATTCTATAGAGAAATACCTACTAACGTTAATTTATCATTTTGTTGTAACCTTGCTTTAATCGTAACTCAAAACTACTTAATAAAAACCAATAAGTAATTGCGAACTAATTTTTTGTACGAGATAAGACAGCGTTTAACGTTCGTGTTTCTTATTTTTGTTGCGTTTCTGCAATTCCAACTCGCGACTACTTATTGAATTCTGTGTAATACACAACAATTTCCAAGTAACTATTAAACAAACGTGACTTGCACGGACATTTATCTCAACGTACGTCTATTACGACGACGAGGCATACCTATAATTCGTATTGAAAATCAACATCCTATAAATTAATCGTTGAATCCTGTACCTGCTTGAATAAATCTAAATTTCGTTGTAGCAGGAACGCCCAGTGGCGTAGGATCCTAAATTTTGTAACCAAGCTTATAAATAAATTATATTAGACCATTTTTCTTGCTGGTCTTCGATATCAGTATATCCCATTGACTTCTTGTATTTTTTTTTTTTTAAATAAAACTCAATTACCACTTACCACAGAATTTTATTAGGTGTTAAAATTTAAAGATTTTCGGCAGTTTCTGATTCCTTATGAGTCGGCACAATAATACTGTTATTGTTAAAAACTACACATTAAGATTAGTAGGTAATATATAGGAAAAACATGTCTTATATTATTTAACTTTGAACGATGCAATCCCTTGTTTAGTATGCAATCCCTTGTTTAGTTTGCTTGGTGACGACTTTTCTGTGATGTTCTACTACCCTCAGCAAAAATTGTTTTTGTTGTTTATCTCTGACCGATTCGTTATATTTCTTTATTAAAACAATTCCTCTTTGTCTACGGTAACAGTGACTACCTTAAGAGCGTCCACTTAACTTCTTAGAGAATCACTGCAATATTATATCATGTTATGGATCCCAAACAATTCAAAGAACATTTTTGTTTTACTAGTGATGAAATGGCTCAGGTCTTTTCCTTCAAAAACTAAGTTTTTACCGTCTAATCGTTTCTTTCCTTTTTATTTGGAAGTTTCTAAATGTTTAGCCATATTTTCCTTTTCAATCTGACTAATACGTTCATCCAAAGAAGCTATTCCTACGTTTGTTTCTGACAGATACCACAAATGTTTCTTAGCAACAGTAATAGCACTTTTTTGATGTCTATATCTGGGTAAATATTCAGAAGCAGCATATCCAAATCATTTTTTGGAGCCCAATGACTTACAATTGCTTCGTGCCAAAAGCGAACATATATGAGGCTTTCAATTTATGTTGAGGCATATTCAATTGTTTAGTAAAGAGAACAATTTTAAGTGCATAAATTGCTTTTGCCATCCACCTTGCTTGATGCAAAGCTCCTGGGATCCTGGAACTGAATTTGTCTTGAGACCAACCTCCTAGGTACAAAAGTGATAGTTGTAATAACTCTTTGTAGTCTTCTCTTGGATCACTTCCATCTTTTAGGACATTTTGTAAGTAGGTAGTTAATCATTTTCACTTGTTGTTCTTCTATAAAGCCTTCAACGGGACGTTCCTCATCCAGCATTGTCGTATATGACTTTTTATCAAGTGAAGCCCACATATTTTGGAACTTGATGGTATGTTACAACATTCATCAAACACTCCTTTTAATATTAGTTCATGAGTGTGATGACGACAAGCCAACCACAACAATGTTCGTCCTAATTCCCTTTTAATTGTGGTACATGCCCCTTGGATCAGTCCTGTATTAGACGATGTAGTATCAAAAGACATACCGATGATATTGTCACTTAGCTCAAATCGGTGCACTTCCTGAATAACTACTTCAGCCAGCTGCTCACCGGTGCCTTTCTGGGCAACAGGTACTCCAAGCAAATGCTCAAAATCTTTGTCAGTCACTAGAACTGCAACTCTATCTTAAAAAGTTTTGATATTCCCATGAGCAACAATTTACTATCCCAATGCAAGACCAAAGAAGGAGGATTTTCAAAAAGCGTCTCCTCGATTTTCCTTGCCATTTTTTTCTATTGTCCACCCGAGCTCAGTAAACGGTGGATGGAGATATAAACATTTTTGATACATCGTGGCCAAGGCTCTTTGCAGTTGCTATAAAAGAGGTACTTACTTGCCTAATAGAGAGTTGTTCTCGATCCCAAATAGACGTAAGGTTTTAATCTAGGACTTGAACGTAATTTTTTGTTTGCTGTAGGCAAAAATTCGTCCTTTTCATCACTAGTTGCGGATGATGATAAAGATGATTCTTCCAGTATTACTGTCTTATTCATTTGAGCTATAGCTCTGTAATGTTTATTCTTATATGAATCATTTTTGTCTTCTTTTGTACCTTTAGTTCTTATTTTGGAGACGAAAACCTTGTCAACTCCAGTCATTGATGAACTCATTCGGTCTTCTCTTTGTGATCTAAGAAATGCTTTATTTTCTTTCGATAAGCTTGTCATTTATATCACATTTTACCGGGAAATCTCAATTAACTCGACAAGATCACCTTTCCAAATCTGCTGTTTCATGTTAGCTTTATCGGTGTTTCTAGATTTCTCTTTACCTAGATTTTTGAATTCTTTGTATAGATTCTATATACCAGTGCGTATGTTCTCCTCTGTCTTAACAGGGATACCTGCTTTCTTCCACACTTCCTGTAGTTTAGTACTGGTAGATTTAGCAGCTTCCGAATGTGTTTCTTTCATATTCTTATGATGGTAAATACAAACTAATAGTACTTGTTCCTTTGAAGGGAGCCGAGCTCCTAAAAACTCACCACTAGGCACCTTTTCTAGCAACTAAATTCCTCTTTTGGTTCCCATTTTAAAGCTCAATTACCTGCAAAAGATGAAAGAAATACATGTAATGATCAAAGATCACTAGTACAAAACAAGTCAATATTAGAAATTTCACCAGTTTCTGATAAAAGTGATCAATGTGTGCAACCCCTAAATATTATCCAATCTTCTCGAAATTTGGAAAAATGAAACACACTAGTCTACATGTGTTCCTTTACTCTCTTGTTTTGTTTTCAGCTAGTTCCTATTCTTATTGAACATAATATGCAGTTTTCCTATGTTCTGTTTTTCAAATAACGTATCCCAATAATCTTGGACAGTACTTTCGGGTACTTCTAGATTTGTTTCTTTTTGCGATATTTCTTCTGATCCTCTTTTAGCGTGTTCACTGCGCTTCATTCCTTGACCACGCAAATTGTATTTAAATTCTGAAAATATTGGTGCTCTTCAAGGATCCATTCTGCGGCTTCTACTATCTATCATATACAAAAATGATTTATGCAAATTTATAAAACCTCATATTTGTAAATATTTGCTTAATACATTGAATTGAGATCTAAACATTCCTGTTAGACGCATAGGAAGGAGTACTAAGGGGGTAAATAATATGTTCAACGGCGCTAGTGGTTGAAATAAATCTATATCTCGTATTAGCCTTAACACGGTAAAACACAATTATTCTATACGAAAATTAATCAATTGAAATCAAAATACACTGGGGCTTGTAATGTATGTATTTCACCATTTCGTGTGTATACCCGCATACGAATTATACATAAATTAAAATCATTATGGCGGCCGTTTAAATAATTGATTAACGAGCGTATTTTTCGTTTAGCAATGTTTAGCTATGAATATTAGGTGGAAGTTATTACAATGTTCGTAGTAGCGTTTGACTGTTGTTATGATTATTAATTTGGTTTTTATTGTTTCAGGTAAGAAAATTGTTTGCGGCGCGAAGGAGGCGGTGTACGTTCATTTGTATGGGTAAGTTGACAGATGACAAATGTCGCCAACTGCGTTAAGATTTAGTTTACTCCGTTTAAGAGTAGAAAAAATCGGCATTATTTTTTTTAAAAACATACCTAATGAGAGAAAGAAGGTTATACATTTTTCAAATCTCCAATAAAGAAAAGAAAACTTAAAGTCTTAACCACAATAACATTAAATTATGTTGAAGAAAGGATAGTAAAAATAACAAATTAAGTGTTGTATGCTGCCTATGCCAAAAAAAAAAAAAAAAAAAAAAAAAAAAAAAAAAAAAGTGTTGTATGCAACTCATATTGAAATAACAAGATTATAAATATTAATAGTAAAAGCACTATGAATTTAATTATCTAGTTGTAATGACAAAATTAATGTGATTAGTAAATATAAAAATCTGATGTGTCCAACACAACCTATTGTATCACACCTGTAAATGTTTGAGGATACATTCATTTTCTACATATATCTTACTCGATTTATTTTCCTATACATATTGCTAACGAAAATACTGAAAAATTAAAATTTTACACTTTTTCTCAAATTTTTCCTTTACGATCCATTTTAGAGAAATCATGATGTATTATTATATAACTTTTATTTAAACAATTTTCTTAAAAATTCGAATTTGGTACTTTTTGTCAAATTTCTTGAATACAGACCATTTTAGGAAAATTGTGTATAGGACAAAAATTATAGAGAATAACATTACAAGCAATTTTTATTTGAAAAATGTTCTCAATCGTAAATAAGAGATGTATTTCATAAAGTAGAAGAACGACCCTTTATAAAGTACCCTCCAGATGTTCCGACTATGCCCAAAATTTAATCAGTTTACGGCAGGATGGATTAAAGCCTAAATTTAAAATTTGGTGTTTTTTTCTTCATCTGTTTTTGAGTTATATTCAAAATTAAAAATTGCAGTTTTTCTCAAATATCTCGAATACGGTTAATTTTAGAGAAATTATGTATAGAACAATAATTATAGGGAATGACGTAATAAACAACTTTTATTTGAACAATTTTCTTAAAATTTTGATCGTTTTTACTTTTTGTCAACTTTCTCGAATACGGGCCATTTTAGGAAAATTTTGTATTAAACAAATAAAATAGAGAATAATATTATAAGCATCTTTTATTTGAAGAATTTTCTTTTCCAAGCGTAAATAACAGATATATTTCATAAAATAGAAAAACAGCCCCCTATAAAGTACCACCCCAGATATTCCGACTATGCCCAAAATATAATCATTTCACCGGAAACTTAAGTTTAGAATTTGGTGTTTTTCTCTGTATCCGTTCATTAGTTATCGAGTATACAAACACGAGAGAAATATCCAATCAACTTTAGGTAAAAATCAATATATCCTACACTTTTCTCAGTGTGTATTAAATTTTTGAGAATTTATAAGTCAAACATTCACATTCAAAACACTCAAATTATTATATGATTATGTAAATAATGTATACAAGCAGATAAAAACGGTTAACAATAAAAAATAAAGTTATAAAACAAACCATGCATTAATTTCTCTAAAACACTTTTAGAGTTTCTGAGTTATGTGTTATCCTAATCAACCCTTAGGATTATGTCCAAGTGGGGTGCCAATATTTGTAACCACTGTTGTTGGTTTTATAATTTAACTGATTAAAGCTTATTAGATTAAGCTCTAGGATACAATAAATCAATTACCCTGAAATTCTGAGTTGGGCACCACTTTATTTAAATTCGCATATCTCTAAGTATAAAAATACACAAACAAACAAAAATTTCCTCAAAGTCTTTATCTAAATCACATTTAAAGAACATTTGTCCAGGATAATCTTGTTTAAATTACATACAAATCACTTTGGAAATGAAAATGTTTTGAATAATGTCATAAGCTGCACCTAAGTCTTTAGAATCTTCAAGTTCTTTTTCTAGATTAGATTTGATGCAGCTCAATCTTGCTATTTGGTGCCAGCCCCCATAGAAAGCACTAAACGCAAACACAACCGTTCAATTTGGTCTCCTTGGTATCAACTGTACAAAGAATACGCATACCAAACTAAACGGACTTAAGTGCCGATACACACAAATCGTAAGCGCTGAATTAAGTCCTCTATTGTGATGAACTTAATATTATAAACAGGAGATATTATATTATTCAGGACCATAGAATATTATAGGTTGATATACTTATTGAAGCAGGTTGATATACTTATTTATTTATTTTACAAACTGTTCTACAGGAAATTCCCAATTAAAGAACAGGCAAAATATGACAAAACAAATATCTCACTTAAATGTGTAAAAAACCGTCTTTGAAGAGCCTCTAACCTGGTAACGTGTACCTGGCAACTGGGACTCCATATAACCGAAGCATATTCAAGTTTTTAGCGGATAAACACATAATAAAGATACTTTAACGTACTTACATTCTTAAAATCCCGACAGTTCCGAATTATGAATACATACATGCGGCTTGCTGCAGTTAATATACAGTCCTCAAGACGTTAATTATTATCAAAATCAACAAATCCTTGTTCATATTAACAGGTAAATATAAAAACTTCTAAATTATTCTTCAAATGATAAAAATCATCCAAATGGTGCCAAACTAAAAGATTTTGACTCTTTAATGGATAAATCGGATAGATTGGACCGATGAGACGAACGTTTTGAATAATAAAATACTATGTATCTATTACTTTACAGAAACTAACATATTATTCAGAACGTGTATTCTCACAAAAAAAATAAACTCGAAAAATTAAAAATATAAATCTCGGGAAATTTATGTAATTATTGTATGAAACAAAAAATATTAAATTTACCACTTACCATAATTAACCTAATGTCTTTTAAAAATGAAGAAGAATCTTTATCAGAGGATCATCTTGATAAATCAAAATTTGTCGACACCAAATTCAAAAAGAAAGTCAATCAAAAAAGGATCTGGATTGACATACACAGAATTGTCATCGAATGGAAAGAGATGGGACAATAGAGGTTTGAAAAATAACGGTGTGAAAGATAGAGCGTTAAAAGTTTTCTAAGAAAAACATGTTCTATGAAATTTTTTGGATAAATCAATATTTTTCAAGTTATTTGTGATTTAAAATGTTGATTTTTCATTCAAAAACATGCATGTTTTTACAGTGTTTTTTCACAAAAATTTTAAGATCCTTAGGTTTTATAAAAAAATCACAATCACAATCTTTTTGTTTTTGTAGATGCAATATGAACCGAGTTTTGGTCCATTGAAGATGACTGTTTGTGCCCTAAAGACTGAATTTCAATTTCAACGTTTGGAAACGGAAAACCGACAAATTTTTAGAGGAAAATTCATTGGAGATTTTTAAAGTTCTTGAAAAGACCTTTTAAACCCGTTAGAATGAAAACTAACAGAAAATAAAATGGGTATCTCGTTTTTCCGAAGAAAAACCCCTCTAATCTGCAAGAATTAAAATTATGGGAGTACGATAGCCATTTAAAATTAATTTTGTTTAACCACTGACAATCTGTTCTAGAAGTTCGAACGGTTTAGAATGCTTAGATTGGAAAAACAGTTGGATTCAATTTTGAAATGATTTTTAAAAATTTCCAAAACTAAAGAAGATATGCAAAAAATGTAGTTTTTGCGAAAAAAATATTTTTTATTTTATTTGAGCAGGGTAAAAATTACATGAGATAT